AAGAGGGAGAGGAAGTGACACGGAGTGAGAAGGATGAATGTCCATGATAGAGGCATATTCCTTCCCTTGCTGATCCATCTAGCACTCCAGCTTGCTGGATGGTATTGTTTATGTGTGTTCCTGTTCAGGGCAGCCTTCTCCCTTATTTCATTATGTCCAGAAATACACATACAGCAAGGAGTGTACGTTACTGGTCTTCTAAGCAGCTTTCAATCAATCAAGGTGATAATCAGGATTAACCATTACAACACTACCAGTTGCCAACTTGACACCCAAGGCTTAGTTAAGTTAGCCACAGTTATTTCCAAATGAAGACAATAACAGGATCATAATTCTACCTAACATAATAGAAATAGCCTGTGTATAACCAAAAATACCAATTCTTTCCTCGAAGTAACAGTTCCACTATTGCTAAAAATTCCAAGCTCAAAATTTCCTCTGAAATTCAAGGCAAACTTTTTCATATGTGACCCTTTATAAAAATAATTTAAAAATTCCAAACTTCCAACATACAATGGTATAGATTAAATGTTATTATTCCAAAGAGGATGGGTTGAAAAATTAGAAGGAGGAATGAACTGAAACAAGACTAAAACCGGCAGAATAAACATAAAATTCTGTAGCTCTGTGTTTGGCAGCACATGGAGCACACAGTAGTGGAATGTGAGTCACTAAGGGCTTGGGCAACCATGTCATTTGCAACCACATGCCTTCTGTCTTGTACTAGTCCTGCTCACTACCTATGGCTTTCTTCAGTGTATGTTCCATTCCCTGGCATCTCCAGCTTCCTGGCATCTCTACTGCATCTTCAATTCTACTCTCACAGCATTGATCACTGTGCTCTTAGAAGCTGTCCACAAGGAATTCGATCCTGCTACATACCTCTTGGTCTCCAAGGCTTTCCTTGAAATCTGACTGGAAACCTCCAAGAGTCCCACATATCTTGTAGTCTGTATACCTGTAAAACTATCACTCATGGACAGCACCAGTGACTACTGCCAGGGAAGCAGTAGCCAGCCCACCATGGACTGCTGAGTACCTGGATAACCAAAATGGTGAAATGAATTATAGGAACACAAATTCTTAGGTGGTCTTATGTAAGCAGGATACCCCAGTCATGCTCTCTTCTCGGGAAAAGTATTTCAAATGAGCTTATGCTTTTACACCTTGTAGTCCATGGTAGGTAGAGCCTGGTCAATTCCAAAGACTCACTCAAAATATCTTTCCTGTTTTCTCAGTGCAACGAAACTTGATTTATTTTTAATTACACTAATCTCTTTTTTTAAATAAATAATTTATTGAGAATTTCACATACGCATATAAGATGTTTTGATCAAATCTGTGCCCACTCCCTCCCCTCCAACTCCTCCCATATCTCACCATCACTTTTTTTCTGGTAACTTCATGTGCTCTTTCTTCTTCTTTGATTTATTTATTTTTTATGGGGCTTTTGGCTACTCTAACATTCCCCCTCTGAGGAAGTAACCCTAAAATCTTTAAAGGATTAGATAAAAGCTCCCAAATATTTTTGACATTTTTGGCCTTTGGAATGGAGTAGGTTGCTAAGAGGCCCAAGGACATTGTGAGTTTTAGCCAAGAAACTGGCTACTTTTCTTTGGGGTCTTTTTACCCTAACTCCCTATCCAATTCCTACCTCCTATTCTTATCACACCATCCTCTGAAGAGGTTACCCAAATTGCCAATAGGGAATCAGAATGCAGACCACTCTGGCTTCTTCCATGCTGAACAGGGATGCGGCGTGAGGCAATTGGAGTTCCCCTTCAGTGGGTCTACCTAAAAGACTCCCAAATTGCATAACTTTTATCTGTAGGGGGAAAAGAAAGTCCTTGACTGGTGAATAGGAGATGTGAAGGAGAAGTAAAGGCACGAGTAATTAGCATTACAAGTTCTAGAAAGGGAACTAGAAAAAAGAACAGGGCAATTTTCAAGTGTTCATATGAGAGTCCATTGCAATTTCCTGACAAGGGCTTCCAAAACTATCTATCTATTGGGTTCCTCCTCATTTTTCTTTTGTTTACCAAGGCTGGACTCTGATGGATTCAGGATTTGTTTTCAGGTATTTTGATAGCTGTTGGAGTGGTTAGAATTTGTGTCACTTCCCTCTCAAAGGCTTCTAGATAAGTGGAGAAAACAATTTTATTCATGATTAGCACTTTCTGATTAGGAACAAAATCATCAATGAGAAATAATTGTCTAACTTTTTATATGGATTTAAGCCTAATATCTGGGAAGTGTAATCCCTTGAACTCTTAAAGAAATATACTGACTGTATTCTTTGGTTTTACTATCCTTTGGGGCATTTAAGACCATACAGTTGGCCCAAATAAATCGATTTATTTTTACACTTAAGGCCATTTGAGGATCTGTGCCTCAGGGGTCACATGGACTTGGGAGGAGCTCCTGGCTCCTTTCTTTTACCAGTTCCATCTGTGTGAAGATAAGTCAAAGGACCTGCTCGACCATGTCTGGTTTCACTTGGAAGGATGAATGAGATGTTTCCTCTGAGTTGACCCTCCTCTTTGTAGACTGGACACTGGTTCAAGTCCATCTCTTGGAGTCTCCATAGCCTCCCTGAACAAGAGGACAGGTGATTCACCACAGTTACAGAACATTTTGAGAGATGTTCCATAGTCCCCTGGAACTTAATCGACCTTGGAGGGCAAGGGACAAAAACTGTCCTTTAAGTCCCTCTGACCATATTAGTATAGGCCTCAAACTATGGCTGCTAAACATCCAATAAGGTTAGTTCCACCAGTCTGGTACTTTTAATTATCATGTTGCACTAATCTCTTAAATAACCACACCTTCCTCAACCACAACTTCCAACAGACTTTTTAATGGTCAAACTATACAATTTTCAAAAATTTCTACTCTGTGTTTTGCTCTAAATTCTCACTATAAACCTGACCCAAAGCAACTGGCGATAACCATGCTACTGCCTGAATGCTGAATTTCTTTAAAAATTCCTCCACAAAAATAATTAGTCTATCTGCTTTAAACACACATTCCCACAAAGTCTCAGGACACAGACAAGCTGTATCCACATTCTTTGCAGAATTGTAACATGAATAGCCTCTAGTAACCCCATGAGAGTCCTTCCTTCCATCTGAAACTTCAGAAATGCAGCCTTAGCTGTCCATGTTCTGGTCTCATCCCCCACCAGACTCACCTTTAAACTCTGCTTAGTGCATTTTAGGGCTTCTATGACCCATATCTCCAAAATCTGAGCCATAGAGGTGATCACAGCAATGACTCTAATCGTTGGTACTAATTTTCAGGGCTAGACAGATTTTTTCAGTCACTGCGACAGAGACCTGAGAGGAAGAGTTTTAAGGAGAAAAGGTTTATTTTGGCTCATGGCTTCAGGGTTTCAGCCAAGGTTGGTTGGATACCTTGCTTTTGGCCTGAGATAAGGCAGAATATTGTTATGGAGTATGTGGCAGAGGCTCTCACTTGATGGCAGCCATAAAACAGAGATAGAATGTCTGTTATCGAGGGCTTACTCTTATTCCTTGGTTTTTATCTGGGCCCCTGGCTTTTTGATGATACTCTCTGCATTCAGATCTCCTCCCTTAGTTAATCCTCTCAGATGTTCTCACAAATACACTCATAAGTATATCTTACTAATCTTTTAGGTAATCTCTCAATAAAGTCAAATTACCAATTAAGATTAACCATCACAGTGTTAAATAGGGTGATGGCTCAGCTGGCAAAGCACAGTGTGAAGACCAGAATGTGGATTCCAGTACACATATAAAATCTGGGTAGCTGTAGTGGTCAGCCTGCCTACTATCCCTGCTTCTCAGGAGGCCAAGATGGGGATCTCTAAGTGCATAATGGCACTAGAGTAGATAAATCAGCAAGCTCCAGGTTCAGCAAGAGACCCTGCCTCAGTAAATAAAGCAGAGAACAATGGAGGAAGATACCTGACATCAACCTCTGGCCTCCACATGTACACACACACCCATGTTTGCCTCCATACGTGTAAACATGTATACATATACCACACATGCACATACACACATGTACACACTAACCATCATGGATAATCTCCCCTCTTCAGTGCCATAATTATAATAGATTTCTTTTTCTTGTAGCGAAAACATCAGCATTTCTTCTTAGAAGCATACACACTCCCTCATTTTTCTACAGTTTCCCATGCACCTTCATGCCTCCATCACAGCATTATATATTCCAAGTTTTGTGTTTGGCTGGGCAGAGGGGAGGACCAGTGCCAGTTGGTAATTGCAGAGCTGGAAGCAGCTGTACTCATTTCCTACTGAACATGTGGATCTTCTTGAGCCTTGATAGGTCCTTGAGCTCCCTCTTCTCCTATTCACTTCTTGGTCATGAAAGCATGGTGACAATTTTTCAGAGTTTATACCAGTTTGCAAGTCTAAATGATTACAAAAAAGATGTCAATGAGATAATTATTAAATTGAAGTTTGCATAGTTTTATCAAAAATAGAAGTTATATTCAAACTTAAAACAAATGTTCCTACACTACATATGCAAAGATCAGTGAAAGCCGATGTCAATATATAGGGGCTTTGGATTGATCACTTTTGTGGGGGGGTGGATTTTTGTAAGTTTTTATTTTTTATTCCAAAGAGAGGCAATTTTTAACACATTTTCCCAGAAATTACTTGAAGCAGGTTATATATATACAACCGCCTGGCGTAGTGGCACACGCCTTTAATCCCAGCACTTGGGAGTCAGACGCAGGCGGATCTCTGTGAGTTTGAGGCCAGCCTGGTCTACATAGTGAATTCCAGGCCAGCTGGGGCCACTGGGAAACCCAGTCTCAAAAAAGACCAAAAAATTATATATATATATATATATAATAGTAGTAGGAGACAATCATGGAACTGCAAATAGCATGAAAATGGAGTAAAGGGTGCAAAGCATGGATACAAGGAATGAGGTTGAATCAGACTCAGTGAAATATTTGCCAACATGGGGTCAACTTTGGTGGAATTATGAAGGGATTGATCGCTTTTAAGGTAATTTGGTGGTACCTTTTCTCAAGTCCTCACACAGGTACTCAGGAATATGAAGATGGTGTACCCAAGATTCCAACCGCCTGTATTACAGTGGAAGATGCAGAAATGATATCAAGAATGGCTTCTCACGGCAACACAATTGTCATTCACCTGGAGATGGGAGCAAAGACATACCCAGATACAGATTCCTTCAACACCATAGCAGAGGTCACTGGGAGCAAGTATCCGCAGCAGGTGAGTAAAGGAGATAGATGATTACCTGATAGTAGGGCATTCTGGTCAAGTATCTATTTTTAGAAATTCTTTGAGAAAAGAGAACACACATCTATAGACTTGGTCCTCACAGTCCTCACAGGCTCATCAAAGGCTGAGGTTTTCTATTTTCCCATTAACACTTTCACTATACTAAAGAAGGGCAAGACTAGTTCAAGGACAGAGTAGAACCCACAGAGTGGAAATTTCATCCCTGAGCAGTTGAGAATATTATTTACACAAATGTATTGCATCTATTTCATTCGGAGCTGGAAATCATGTAGCATGAGTTTGTACTTACACTGTGTTTATTTTATGAGTTATTTTTAATCATTTCAAAGCTCAGTGATGTAGAATATATTTTCTTCATTACATAAGCAAGGAAACTAACAAAGAAAGAAACTCACTTGCCAAGGTCTGTGCACAGCTAGTAAGTGACTATGAAAGGACCCAAGATCAGGGAACTAGAAATACTAAGCCAAGCTTTACCTACAGTTTAGGTACGATGTCCAGATTTCTTGTCTGTATCAAATGATCTTAAAAGCTGACCTACACTAGCCAGATGTTAAATAACGGGATAATTATTTACTTTGTGGGTTTGAGAGACCTATCTACAAAGAAACGGTTGTCATAGGCATGCCTTTATAAAGGCCTGTGCTACTAACAGAATTACTATGAGGACTGCATGAGATAGCCTAGAAGTGTTTCACACATTACAGATAATCACTGAATTTACCTTTACTTCATATGAAATAAAGTATGCAAACAACAGGTTTTATATGCTTTCTGACATTAATCTTCTTTATTAGTAGCAACTAAAATTTTGAAAATACTACTTAAGTTATTCAGAAATGTCAGACATACTTTTTTGACAGTGTCAGTGGGGTGAAAGGAAAAGGAAGCAATGAGGTTTGGTGATAGAGAAATGAGACTTCCACACAGGCTCGTTTACAGTATGACCCTCACTTGGGGAGGGGTTAGAATTATGTATTGTCAGCTGTCTGGGTGAGCAGGCTGAAACTGGATCTCAGGGTGGGTGGTGGAGTAAGTGCATTTCTGGGATCCTTTGTCCGTAACAGCCGTGGAGTATCAGGGTCTGAGGCTGAGGTGTTTAAGGAGAGATGTTCTCAAGAACCAGAAGGTTAAGACAATGCTGGCTCTGACAGCTTCCAGAAGGCCATGGAGGTTTTCTAGCCTGAACAGCTGGAGTCTCTTTATGTCAGTTATAATTTATCAGATTTAAGTGTGTAATTCAGTGAGTTTTGAAAATGTATACAGTAACCATTGCTACAATCAAAATAAGAATGTTTCCAAGGTTTCCTTGAACCTCTTTGCAGTTCAGTTCTTTCTGTACCTTCTTCCTAACAACCAGCAATGGTCTAGCTCCAACTATGGTTCATGTCTTCTAGAATTTCTCACGTAAGCGTACTCATGCAATTTGCCTGGCTACTTTCACTCAACGTAATATCTATAAGATTTATTCATATTTCAGTTCCTTCTTCCTTTATGGCATTGAACAGTATTTCATTATATGGATGGACAATAATTTGCTTATTTTCTTAGCAGTTTCTGGACATGTAGTGATTTTTAGGTTTTGACTATCGTTAATAAAACTTCTGTGAACTTGCTTGACCTAGTCTTCCAGTAGACTTTTGCTTTCATTTCTTTTACATGAATACCCAGTGTGTAATTGCTGGGTAGTTTGAATATTAAGTACCCTGGACTCTATCAATATGCTTCATTCTCTACATTCTCCGGGAGTAGCACCTTTTCCCTGTGGGTGGATGGGTGTTTTTTAGAAATCTCTCAGGACTGGGGCTGGGGAAGTGACTCACTGGACAAAAGTGCTTGCAGCATAAGCCTGACTACTTGAGTCCAGATCCCCCAAACACACATGAAATCCCAAATGTGTTAGTGTGCATCTGTAATCCCAGCACTATTAAGGAGAGATACAGAGACAGAAGATTCCAGAAGCTTGCTGGCCAGCTAGCCTGGAGTACTAAGTGCAGCAGCAGAAATAAGAGAGATCCTGCTTCAACATGGGGGAAGGCAAAAGCCTATTCCCAGAAAGCTGTTCTCTGTCTTCCATATATGTGCCGTGGCACACATGTATCCATACCTACACATACACACATATATCATATGCGCAGAATTTTTTAATATATAAAAGAAAACACTCAAGACTAAAGATAAAATGTCATGTCCTTCACAGTGCTACCTAGCATCCCAAGAGTTGGTCATAAATGCTTTGCTGTTAAGATGTACAAAATAGGTGTTAAAAGAGATAGTTCAGTGGTTAATATTGCTGACTGCTCTTGCAGAGGATCCAGGTTTGATTCCCAGCACCCACATGATGGCTAACAACCATCTGTAACTCCAGTTCCAAAGGATTTGAGGCCCTCTTCTGACTTCCATGGGCATTGCATGACACAGATGCACTTACATACATGCAGCCAATACATTCATACTTAGACATTAAAAATAATACATACAATATTTTTAAAAGATATACAAAATAGATTAACATGTGTTCTCTACAAACAACTAAAAGCATGGCTTCCATAAGGGAAATATAAATTAGTATAGTAGAATTGAGTCTGAGTGTTTGCATTTCAGAGAGACTGTGGCTTATAACTTACTTGGCACCACTAGGAAGACAAGAGGCAAGCTTATTAGATTTATTAGATTGATTAGATTGGTTAATGAGCCTGTGTAAATTCTGTCCTCTTCTCCATCTCTTCCAGAAAGCCTCCTCTGCTAACTCCCCTCATCCCAACACTCTGTACCACTGTTTGATTTCTCACCAGAGCTTTCAAGCACACTGTTACCACCATGTTTATTTCTTGTCTTTTCCTTTTCTCTAATTCCTGTCCCGAGAATGATCACACAGTAGCTTCTCATCTCATATTTGGTTTCATTAAGATTAAGAGAATAAGTAAAGAAGGAAATGGTTGAGGATTTCCTTAATTTTCACCATCTTTAAATCTGAAGTTTTTCTGAGTTTTTCAGTCTAGCTAATTGTCCCGGTTGAGCCTTATTCAATATTGTTCAAATCAACCTTGAATGCCACTCAACATATATTCAAGCCTGAATGCATCATCTCTCTCATCTCCCATTCTTTTTCTGGGCTTTTGTGTCTGTTGGTTGAGCTATACCCACCTATCAGTAGTTACAAAACTTCATGAAACCTTTCTTGTTTTATTTATTATTTTTCTATTATGTTTTTAGAGTATTGCCTGCATGTGTGTAGGTGCACCTGTGTCGTGCAATGCCCTCAGAAGACAGAAGAGGGTGTCAGATCCCCTGGAACTGGAGTTACAGATAGTTATTAGCCACCTTGTGGGTGCTGGGTATTGAATCCAGGTCCTCTACAAGAACACTCAGTTCTCTTAACTGCTGAGCCATCTCTCCAACCCTGCAACCTATCTTTCTTATTTTTGTTTTTACTTACTTTTATTTTTAATTTTGTGTGAGTGTGTGTGTGTGTGTGTGTGTGTGTGTGTGTGTGTGTATGGATGTGGGTCTGTACATGTGAGTGCAGTGTCTTTGGAACCCAGAAGAGGAAATTGGATCCCCTGGAGCTGGAGTTAGAGGCAGTTGTGAGCCACCCAACCTAGGGGGCTGGAAATGGAATTCCGGTCCTCTGTAAGAGCAGCATGCACTCCTAGCCTCTGAGTAATCTCTTCAGCCCTCATCCTACCTTCCAATCCCTCTTCTTTCTCACTTTCTTACAGCGAGGCATGATATCCTATCCAATCTATGTTCGGCATAGTTTTGAAACTATCTGCTCCCACCTTTCCTTTGCTGCTCTTACTGCCTCTTACAGATCTTTGCACTTTCTTCCTGATTTCTTCTTCTTCTAGCCTCTCTCAAACTCTTTCTGTTGAGCTCAAATTTGTATTTTATGGTCACAAATGGTATTTCCTTGCTCATAGGTATCTCACTCCTACTCCTTATAAGACAAACGTGAAATGAAGCTACATGTTAGGGGAGTGATCAGAGCTGAAGAGAGGCAGAGGACAAGGGGTGAAGAGGAAGAATACTGGGGGAAGGTCAGGTGGGAGGTAGTCATAAGAAGAGGAAGGAATATATTACCGTTCATCAGTGAAGAAAGAAAGGCAATGAAGAATGTGGAAGGAAGATCATTAGAGTCACTAAGAACTATTTCTTCACAGCTCAGTGAGGAAAGATCTGCTCTTCTAAATTTTGGCAAACTTTTCTAATACCATTTCACTTTACTTTTGTATTATTATTAATGCTGACAGTGACATAAGGCTGGTTTGATAGTTTAGGTTGGCTTTGCTAAATGGCATATTAAAGAAGAGCTGTACTAAATGACTGAGGAAATTATTTGCAGCAGAAATTGTCTCTATAAAATAAAAGGGTATGTTGAGATTATCATTATCTGCAGGTTGGACATGCAGGATATCCTTAGAGGAGGCAGAAAAGAGGAAGGTATTCTAATAGGGAGTGGCTAGTTGGCAATTTCCAGTGATAGTTCCCATAATCTATACTAGCATAGCCCCTACATCTCACTGCGTATGTGTAGAACCTCACTAAGTATACATAGTTTGCATATCTTTTTATTTATGTGTATACATATATATGTTTATTTATACATATACCGCATGTATGTGGGTGCCCATGGAGGACAGAAAAAAGTGTTGGATCCCCTGAATCTGGAGTTCATTCAGTTGTGAGCTATCTGGGGTGGGTACCTGGAACCAGGTCCTCTGAAAGAGCATCAAATGCTCTTTCTTCTATGAATCCTCCCTCAATCAAGTGGGATACCACTTGAGTTGCTTCTTGGGCTATTATTTTTTGACTCCTTATCACTTTGGAAGAGAATCTGATGAATATAACACTTCTGTGGTGCTAATTGCTTTTTGATGCCCTCTTCTCATGTGACCCTGTTCACATCGTTCACTTTCACTAGTCAGGTGGATCTGTGGAGCAGAAACCCTCACAAGAAGTCAAAATAG